GCTTAGGCCACCCCACTTCCATTGTTCTAGACGAAGCCCACCACCATAAAATTCCTTCACCCAAGGACTTCTCCTGTCCCTTTTTCCATCTTCGGGCATTCAGAGAATCGTGTTTTTCTCTGAACAGCTCTTTCATGACCACCCTCTCTAATGCTGTTCTTTCCTTCACGAATTTGATGCCATGGGCCACAAGGAGTCAGAATGCTACCTGGCCACATGACCACTTCCAGGGCCACCTTCTTCTTTCTCTAATCTATTCCCCACACAGTTGCCAAAGTGATTTCCTTCAAGTCCATGTCTGATTGTCATGCTCCCATTACTCCGACTTTTACCATGAAACACAAACTCCTCTCTTTGGCTCCGATTTGTCTTTCTCTGATTAGCAAACACTTTTCCCCATCACACACTCCATAAGCCAAACTGCCTCTCTTGCTGTTTCTCACACGTGGCATTCCATCTTGGGTTGTCTCCTGTTTCTGGAACATGTACTTCCTCCTCACTTCTGCCTCGGGAATCCAGAATTTCCTTTACATACTGCTCAAATACCACCTCCTAACATAAGATTTTATCCAATAACTGCCCCCTTCCTTGCCAAGTGCTTCATCCCACCAAATTATCTTATTTATTCTGTATGTGTTTGTTACATACATACTGTCTGACAGAAAATAATCACTCAACAAGCATTTATTAGTCAATCAATTAACATTTATTAACCATTTACTATGTGTCAAGCACTGAGCTTGCTGAAGCAACCATCCTTCTGCTACAGTCAAGCATTTCTAGTACTTTGTACTGTGATTTTTATAACATTATCTATGCATTTAGGGAATCAAAAAAGTTTAATAGAACATTTATCTTAAAAGTTGTTTTTATTTAATTTCCTCTTTGAAGTATCATAAAATCATGCATTTTTAGAGCTGGATATAACTTTAAAGGCCACCTAACTCAACCCCTTAATTTTATAGACAAGAAAACTAGTACCAAAGTGATCAGACAACTTGCTCAAAATCATACAGGTAATAAGTAGCGGAGTTAAGTTTCAAACTCATGTCCCTTTTCCCCTTAAACTCGGTGCTATTTCCACTATACAAAAGTATAGTTAGTGAAGTTCAGTTTATGCCAGACAGAATCCAAATGAAAACCAAACGCAAACATTCTTGATTTATTTGCTACTCAGACTCACGGTGGACTTCTTTATTTAGGAATTATTTATCTTGTTTTACATTTTAAAGCCTACTCTTCAGTGACAACTGATGTCCAATCAGCAGAAAGGCTAAAGTAAAGCTCAGTATTATGTCTGCTAATCACTTGTTTCTGTGTGTGTGTCTGTCTGTGTATAGTATATACCACCACATTTTTTCTTCTTTCTTTTTTAAATAAAGATAACAACTGTTTGATACTTCACTAGAAGTGAAAAGCAAAAAAAGGCTGCCTTAAAAATACTTTGCCTCCGCCCCCTACCTTGCAGTGGTAGGGCTAATAGACTAATGAAATCAGTTTTATTAAGTAGTCTTCAACCTCATTCAACTGTCTATGATTAAAAATAAAAACCACTAGAAAGCCAATGAAAAAATGAAAGCAAACTCATAGAAACTGAAAGGAAGAGTTGAGAGAGTAGTGGTTTTTTTTTTTTTATTCATAGTATTTGAAGGGAAAGAATTCAAAAATCATAAAAATCAGTTGTTTTAACTGGTGCTCATAAAACAATATTTATTATTCACCCATCTGTGTACTATACTAGGTTACTTAGGAAGGTTACATAAGAGTTAACTTTTAAAAGGCATGCTTCCTGCTCTAAATGTTTATATTTTGGAATAGACAACACTACTTGGGATAAACACAGAATAATTGAAACAATAGAGTTTTTTTTTTAACAAGTCACTTACTAAGTAGGATGTTTTCCAAAAGGGGTGGGAGGAGCAGTATTTCAAAGCTTATTTGCTTTACTACAGTTGTTTTGCTCAAGTTTATCCATTGTAGAGGACAAGGGTCAAAGGGGAGAAAAATTGGGTAGCTACTGGAGGAATTGGAGGAATAGGCTAGGAAGGTAGAGCATCATCAACATGTTTCACAGACTGATTTAACATGATAGAGCCTCGTAATGGACAAAGGCCTTATCAATTTATTTTTTCACTTCAACTCTCAATGAAGGATGAACTAAAAAAAAAAATCTTCCAGATAGTCCAAATGTACTATTATGTGTGATTTGGTGCTAGTTACCCATATATGTTCACTCCCTCCTAACCAACTGTAAGCTCTCTGAAAGCAAAGACTTGATCTTAGCTAAATCTCAGACAAGACCCTCTCTCCCTCTCTCAGCTCCCAGCACCCAGCATTTTCTCTGGCTATCCCCCATGCCTGAAACATTCTTCCCCTCCGCTCTGACTACTGTCCTCTGTGACTGTTTAAGTACTGACTAAAACTCCAATCTTCTGCAGGAAGCTTTCCCCAGCCCTCTTAATTTTAATGTCTTCCCTCATTTAATTATCTCCGATTTATCCTGTATATAGCTTGCTTTGTATTGTTTGCATGTTGTCTCCTCCATCAGACTGTATGTTCCTTGAGAGCAGGAGCCCTCTTTCTTTTTTGTCTTTTTCCTCTTTTTGTAGACCCAACACTTAGTACAGTGTATAGGACATAGTGCTTAATAAATGTTTACTGACTGATTATACAGCACCTAGCATGCAACAGGCATATATATATATATATATATATATATATATATATATATATATATATAAAATTGACTCCTAATTTCAGTGCCCAGCATTTATTAAATGCCAAAGTACACTTGCTGGTGTAGTGGTCAAATCAATTCCCACAATAAAACTATAGTCTTCAAGGAAATCTGAACAAATACTTGTCCCACTATCAACACCTGAAATCTCAACTTTTCAACAAGGCGATAATCACAAAAGAAGCCCTGATCAGGAAGGAAAGCCAACATTCTACCAATACAATGGGAGAGATATGTGCTCTAAGGGACACATTAGAGTTTAAATTCAACAAATATTTAATAAATCAACTTGTAAGCAGAGCATTATGTTTGGAAGGGAGGAGATTCAAAGGCAAATAAAACTTCAAAAGATGTCTATGACACACAAAAGGTTAAGAACCTCTGCTCTAAAATCTAAAACCTCTAAAGCTTCAGATAAAAAAAGGAGACCAGTAAGTACATGTACTACTAATCTTTGCCTTACAAATAACATCAACAGTCACTAGGCACTATTGGCCTAGTGAGGCCTGTTCACTTCATGCTAAAATAGTCTATAAAATTTCAAAGATGCTAAATCCTAAACATTTTGAGCTTTTCTATTAACTCAAAATATCTCTTTAACTCACTTAATTTACACTTATCCAAAACTTTTCCTAGGTTTCTACCTCTAGCACAGAAGAATGATACCAGTAAAAAGGCAAGAAAAAACCATCAGGAAATGAATCCTAATGTCAAGGAGGAAAAAACAACAAAACTTAATAAAAATTCATTTTACAATTCCTATTCCCAGAATTCTCATAAGAAATATGAAGAAAGGCTGAAAATAGCTACTCTCAAACAACAATCCAATCAGTTCACTCTTTGGCCAAGTCCTAAACCTACACAAAGGCCTAAGATAAATTTGATTCTGCTTCAGGGAATGGACCAATTCCAGCACAGCTATTTTGAGAGCTTTCTTTCACTTCTAACACATATATAAACAGAAAACATTGAATGTGAAGGACCAGGTTCTTTCAGAGTAACATTAAAGAGAAAATAAAAACAGCAACCACATCCCCTCCCCTCTCACCCCAAACCCATAGCAACAAACCATTTTATTTTTCTGAATTAAGAAAAAAACCTTTTCATTACTAAACTGTACATAATCTTTGACCACTTCTAGGCCTATACCCCAAAGAGTTAAAAAAAAAAAAAAGAGGAAAAAGACCAAAAATACTTAAAGCAGCTCTTTTTTGGAGTGGTAAAAAATAGGAAACTGAGTCCCTTTCAACTGGGGAATGGCTGGACCAATTATTGTATTTGAATTTAACTGAACATTATTATGGAATTAGAAATGAAGAAAGCACTGATTTCAGAAAGTCCAGAAAAAGATTTATATGAACTGATACCAAGTGAAGTGAATGGCACTAAGAGAACAACTTATCAATAACAATATTGTAAAGCCAACTTTGAAAAATTTAAAAACTGTGATCAATGGAAGGACCAACCACAATTCCAGAGGACCACTGATGAGCATGCTACCCACCTCCTAACAGAGAGTTAGGTACAGCATGAGACATATTTCCGGACAGAGCCAATGTGGAAATTTGTTTGTTTGACTCTACATAATTGTGTTACAAGAGTTCCTCCCTTCCCTCATTCCCATAGAAACGTGGCAGATGGGGTGAGGGAAAGCTGGGGAGAAAATAAGTTTTGTTAATGAAAAAAAATTTGGATTACATTTTTTAAAAAATTTTTGCCTATCTCTACATTAAAAGTTATTTATGTTTTTCAACAAAATACAAACCTTGCAAAATGAGAAGTTTCTAATAATTTTTTAGGAAAATAGTGGCTCTCATATATAAACTTGTTATGATCTCAGGATAGACATTAGTTTTAAGACAAAATAAACGAGATGAACTGAACTTAATGCAGAATTTCCAAATCTATAAACTATCTTAGAAAAAAAGCACATTCTCTAAGGACTAGTCAGAACTTACTACCAGGAAAGATTTTTCTACATTAACTACATGACATACAAAAATATTCAAACATTTCAGTGTAGTAAAGACACTGTTAAATTTGCATAAAAATCATTTATTTGAGTTTCTTTCTCGTTCCCTAACAATAATAAAACAAATAGGTAAAGTAAAAAGGGAAGAAGACAGAAATGGCTTGAATAATCTAAAAACTGAATGAGTCAAATCTAACCACAAACTGACTGGAGATAACAGATCTTCATTGGCTCAAAGTACATGTAAAATATGTGACAAAACATCAATATATAATAAATCACTGAACCCACCTTTTCTCAACTCACAGACATAGAGCAGTTCTTCCTATTGGGTCCAACTTGAAATATTTTCTTGAAACCTAAGTAAAATAAGATAATATTTAAATTTTATATAATTTTGCTGATACATTACAATTCCAACTGGTAAGAAAGTTACAGTTAAAAATAATTACTTCAAGTTAAACAGTGGCAGAACAATGTATTTTCCTTTAATAGCTTAAAATCAGAGTTTAATTTTCAAGCCCTTTAAGTGCAACGCAGTATCATTTAGGGTCATAACTCCCAATAGTCATTCTGATTAATAACAAAGAGTGAACTGAGTTCCCTGATGTTACAATACATGATCAGTTTTTGCAAAGTTAAGTTTTTGCACAGCTAAGAGTATGTTATTCCCTTCCATTACCATTTAGTAATCACTATAAAGCAATTCTAATTTTCTAATGTTCTACACAGATTCTTAATATCTTCCTTGTTCATACTTTGGTTAGCTTCATCTTGGTCTGAAAATGTTACACTGAGGTCCTCCACTATTATAGTTTTATTGTCTATTTCTCTCCGATTCTATTTTTATATTATTGTCATTTCTAAATATTTTCCCTTTTCAACTGTATGTAAGAAAAAGCATTTATTAAGCACTTGTGTGGCATGCACTGTGCTAAATGCTAGGAGTACAAATTCAAAAATGAAGCTAGCCTTTGCCCTCAAGTAGGCTTTCATTCTAATAGGGGGAGATAACATATATAGAAATTTAGAAATACTAAACACTCAATTTTGTGATTACACAATAAAAATTATATTTAATAAAGGACCCATAAAGAAAAAATTGAAAGTAATTGTAGACTAAATAACATAATTATAGAGAACTTGTGAGTCAAAGAAGAAATTTAAGAAAGAAAAGAAAATTTCAGAGAAAATGACAATAAGGAGAAACATACCAAACCTTAGATGGGCTGCAGCCAAAGTAATAAAAGCCAAAGAGAAAATTTTATATCTCTAAATGCTTTCATCAATAAGAATAAATCAATGAGCTGAGCATGAATTTTTTAAAAATCTGAATAAAAAATCCTCAACTAAATAACAAAGCAGAAATTCTGAAGAGATTAATAAAACTGAAAGCAAAAAGATGAATGAATTAATAAATAAAATTAGGATTTTTTAATTAATCAAAGAGAATTATTTTTTAAAAAAGAAAAACATTGTTTATATCAATGGTAAAAAAGTAAAACTTAAAATAAGTAAAGGGAAACTAAAAGAAATTATTACAAACCAATCTACTCAATTTAATGCTAACAAAATTGATAACTTAGGGAAAATAGAATACTTACAAAAATATAAAACACCAAAATTAATAAAAGAAATAGGTTATTAAATAACCTATTATCAGAAAAAGAAATCAAACAAGTCACAAATGAATTCTCAAGGAAAAATCTCTAGGACCAGATGGATTTACAAGTGAATTCTATCAAACATTAAAAAGAATAATTAATTCCAATAAAATATAAACTGTTATCAACATGAAAAGAAGGCACCTTTAAACCTCTCTCTATAATAGTTTTGATACATAAATCAGGGAGAGGCGAAGCAAAGTACTCTACAGACTTCCTAATGAACACTGTTGCAAAAATGTTAAATAAAATATTAGGAAGCAGGCTAAAACAACATACGAGAAAGATTATACACTATGACCAAGTTGGGCTTATACCAGAAATACAAAGTTGGTTCAACATAATACTATAAATACAATAAATTATCCACATGAGTCTATCAATAGATGCTAAAAGGATTTTGACAAAATTCAACATTCGTTTCTATTAGAAATCTTAAGAATGATTGGGAATCAGAAATATTTCTCCAGAAATCACAGGAATACATGAAATTTTACGTAACAGAATAATGAGTATTTATCTAAATTTAAAAGCAAACATAAGTAATAGGGAAAAGTTAGAAGCCTTTTTCACTAAGATCAGAGGTAAACACAGATACCTATTACTATTATCATTATTTAACATAGTGCCTGAATTACCAGCCACAGCAAAAGACAAGAAAAAAGAAATTAAGAGAACAAGCAGAAAGAAAAAACAAAATTATCACTTCTTATGGATTTCATGACAGGGAATTTAAGATAACCCTAGAGAGTTAATTAAAAATTGTGATTATAACTTCCAAAAAGTTGTTGGATATAAAATAATTTCACATAAATCATCAAGATTCCTATACATAAAATCAACAAAACCATGCAAGAAGAGCAAGAAAGAGAAATTCCATTCAAAATTATATAGAAACTATAAAATACTTGGGAGTATATCTTCCAAAATTTACTCAAGAGATTATATAACTATAAAACACTCTTTACAATCAAACATTAATTGCTCCTGGATAGGTCGAGCCAATATAATAAAAATGACAATAATACCTAAATTAGCCATTCAGGGATGTAGTAAACTCCCTGCCCCCCCCAAAAAAATTTCATAGTTAGAAAAAAATAATAAAATTAATGTGGAAGAACAAAATTTGATCAAGAAAGTAAAGGATAATAATTTTAAAAGTAGAAAGGAAGGAGGTCTATTAATCAGCACCAGATTTCAAAGTGTACTACAAAGCAGCAATCATTAAAATGACTGGTCTCATTTTTTTAAAAAAGAGAAGTTGATTAGTGAAACAAACTGTGTTCACAACACACAGAAACAAACATAGCATCTTAGTTTTGGGTAAACTCAAAGACTCCAGTTATTGGGGGATGGATTCACTATTTGATTAAAAAAAAATTCTGGAGAAATTGGACAGCAGTCTGACAGAAATTGAGTTTAGGCCAACACTTTACACCATACACCAAGTTAAGCTCCAAATGGTTACCGGAAAAAGGTCACATCATAAACAAATCTAAGGAGCAACAAGGAAATTAATTTATACATGATTAAATAAATGATAGAGAAGATCACACAAGATAAAATGGACTACTTTAATTAATAAAAACTTTAAAATATCTTGCACAAATAAATCTAATATATAAAAGGAAAATCAGTAACTTGGAAAAATCTTTGCTACAAGTTTCCCTGACAAACATCTTATTTTCAAGATACAAGGAATGGATTCAAATTTATAAGACTAGGAGCCATTCCCCAATAGATAAATGGTCAAAGGATATAAACAGGCACTTTTTAAAGGAAAAATATTCAAACTATCAACAATCATACGCTCCAAATCACTAATAATTAGAAAAATGATAATTTAAAAAATAAGATCACTCAGACATTCCTTGTTTGTGGATGGCACTCTGATGACTGACTGCAACAAGCCTCAGATGCCCGCTAAATGAGATCCTAAATTACTCAAGAGTTGAGTCTCATAATCCACAGAGAAAAAACCAAATGGGTAAAAAATTCCTATCATCCAGAAGTTCCCAAAATGGGCAACGCCAACCCCTGAAGGATACTGGAATGATTAAGGGGGTGCAGTAACAGCCTCAGGTGCAATTGGGGGTGTTAAATAAAAATAAGTGGGTGGTGGAAGGATAAGGAAAGAAAAGAAGAAAAATTTGAAAAACCATTCATACATGTTTCATCTATTGTGTAACAGAGTTAAAGTCATAATGATCACATTATTTTCCAAATAAATACACAAAATGCAAGTTATAACCAATCAGTGGTCAAGTCCACTGACAGGTCTTAACAAGCAAGTGTTGGTAGGCGTGTTGCTCGTTGGGAAGTACAGCATGTATCAACAGGAATACGTGCAAGAAATGATTTGTTTACAATATGATACTATGCAGTTACGTGATGCAATATTGTATCATCAAAATTTCAATGCAGGAAAAAAACACAAATTTATAATAATTTGTTCAATTTAAGATGCATTTTTTCAATTTATATATTTTTTTAAAAAAATAACACAAATTTCCAAAAAAAAAAAAAAAACTGCTAAACAGTTAAAAAAAGTAGATTTCCAGGTAGGCACTAAGTAATTTTTTTTTTTTGAAAAGGCGGCAGTAAGCCAAATAAGTTTGGGAATCTGTGGTCCAAACTATAGGTTTTTTTTAATCCTTTTTTCCAAGTAGATTATGGTAATTTGTGACTATTTGCTTCCTTCTCTGCACCCCACAGACATTTTGTTTTCTATTAACTTCCTTCATCCATCTTTTAAACACCATCTTTTCCCCGGGATGCTACATGGCCACAAATCACAGACTACTACTATTTCTTTAGAGATTTTTTTTTTTTTTTTTTGGTGAGGCAATGGGGTGAAGTGACTTGCCCAGGGTCACACAGCTAGTAAGTGTCAAATGTCTGAGGCCAGATTTGAACTTAGGTCTTCCTGAATCCAGGGCCAGTGCTCTATCCAGTGTGCCATCTAGTTGCCCCTACTATTTCAAAGAATAAAAATTATGTATGACAGTGGACAGTGAAGAGGTGGCTAGTGAGTATAAGGAGTTTTGGTAAATTACTAATGATTAACTATGTATAAGGAGTTATATATAAGAGGTGGTATAAAAAAATATCATTCACTTGGCATGCCATTGTAAAAAGAGGCAGACTAACCATATCTGGGGAAAGGATAACAACAGGACAGTTACTAATACTGGGTTAATATTAGGCAGCAAAGACAGCACTGGACTTCAAGTCAGCAAAATCTTAGTTCAAATCTGTCCTGAGACACCTGTTAGCTGTATAACCTTGGACAAGCCATTTAATTTCTATCTACCTCAGTTTCCTCATCTATAAAATGGAGATAATAATGGCACCTTCCTCCCACAGTTGTTGTGAGGATAAAATAATGTAAAGAACTTTGTAAACTTTAAAAATCTATATAAATGCTAGCTGCTATGAATATTGCTACCATTACTGTTAATAAATTAAAAGAAGACCTCCAGTATGTTAGGTAGACCCCAAGTAGCTTTTATGGAAGGATTTGAACAGGAGTGTCCAAGGATGAGAAGATACATTAGATGCAGTTTGGGTAACAGGAAAGGCATTCACATTGATAAGATCACTACTACATTGAAATATCAATGTCTTTTTTAAAATGGGATAAAATCCTAAAATCTTTTATACTTTCACAAAGAACATTAACTCAAACTACACCC